ATATATATTTTTTTTTTTTTTTTTTTTTCAATTTTGGAAGGGATTTGTTCTTAGCTTAGTGAAAATTCATGGTTTGTTGTATGAGTTTAATCCGAAAGTGTTTCTTTTCTCGTATTCATGGTTTTGCTCTCCTTATTCAAACTTGGTTAATTATGCAGGCAACACGTATGGGGACGTTTCTGTTTGAGCTATAACGGTCAGAAGTTAGTCGTAGATACTGACTACGTTAGAGATTATGGTGTCAAAGATGGTGATCAGGTTAGTTTCTCACTTTATATAAGATAATTTTTACATTGTGAGTAGTGACTACTCCTATGGTGAGATAACAAAGTTTCTATGGTGATTTTATTTGACTCTTCATTATATGTGCTTAGTTCCATTTACCCAAAATTTATATTTGAAAGATATATATGTTCATTACTGATATGGGAGTTGCAGAAGTGGTTCTACTAAGAAGACTGTATGTGGACCTAATCAAACCAAGAGTTAAAATATACTTTTATGCTATCGATTTTCCGTACAAAATTTGATCTTGTAATCCTTCTAGTAAAAAGGTTTGACATTGTTTAAGATGACCCTTTCTTCAGTTTTTGCTTTCTGCATCTTATTAGTCCAGCTCTTGTCAGTTTTATTTTTGCTTGCCCTCCTTTTGGCTTTCAAGATTGCATCTACTGACATATGCTTCTCTGATCTTTCATCCTTATTGAACGTGGAAATTGTTTTTAAGTGATGTCCAGAAATCAAACTTTCTTTACTAGTGTTAATTCTTATGCTTTTGGTAAATGCAGCTTCATTTCATGCGACACGTCTCAATGAGCTATAACATGGTAAAAAAGCGATCCAGGAAAGGATTTGCTGCTTCAAAACACAAAAAGATGTAAGCCTCTCTCCCTTTGTCTGAGTATCCAAAGATTATCCCACAAAGAAAAAAATACAGGACAACAATTATATGGTTCCTTGAAGAAAATCAATTTCTTAACTTGTAATAACAATAATAAAACGTCCAATTTGTCACTACTGCTGCTACCACCACTATCAAAAGAGAATCATAATTTCCAGCAACATATCCACCTTTTTCTCCACCAACAAGAACACTTGGTACCGTAATGTTAGTCGTTTACTTAATTTCCACATGTATATGTATGTACTAAAAGCTTAATAAACGTTGTGTTACCTGTAAAAGATAGATAAAACAATGGTAATGCATTTAATATTTGTGTAAGAATAATGCTAGGGACACGAACTCAAATTCCAACTCTTATGTGCTAACTGATATGGCTTATGAGTTATCATTTTTACATTGATGTGTGTTTAAGACATTGCCATGTCAATTAATGATGAGATATTGCATCTACCGGTAAAACAATGGCAACTCACATGCCACATCAGTTGGTACACAAAAATTGAGATTTGAGTTGGTCTCTAACATTACTCTTTTTATAAAGTAAAGGAACTAGCCCTGCTAAAACCATTACCTTACATCTCTGATACTCTTTCATATGCATGTCACGGTCGCCGTCAATTAGCTGCAACAATGAAGAACAAAATGACAAGGAAAACAACAAATGCGATACTAAAGGGAAGGGGAAGCTTCATCATCATGCCGATCAAGGTTGTTTCATAGGACAACATGAAATCAGGCTGACTCATTTGTTCGGAGAGTGGTTTTCGCACTGCAAGATCGCATTTCTTGGAAAAAAGAGAGTTGAAGATCTAGCATGTCCCGCAAGAGTCACAACTGGTTTCTTGGGAGGTTTTAAGAAGATCATACAACGTTGTAGTGAGAAATGCTATTCTCGAAAGGCTACTATATTGCTTTCTCACGGAAGACGCTATCCTTGAAGGAATATTCAAAGAAATAACCAATGCTTGGAAACCACTATTGGTATTTGATAAAATATTGGTTGAAGTGACGAATACCTGACTTGCATTTTGCTTTGGTTCTTGATTCTCTGGTGCTCACATCACAGAGAGTCTTGTTGGTAGAAGTTAAAAACTCTAGTGCTAGTGAATAATATTTTATGCTTATCGTCTCTATGAAAGAGCATATTATTGAGTTAATTAGTGACCCCAGTTGAATGATACTTAATTTTAGTGCATTAATTCTTACTTCACATGGTAGGAGTCAGATTACCCTGAACATGGCTCGTATTATTGTTGGATGATTGTGCATTACATGTCCTATAATTTTCAAAGGATTGCCAAGCTTCTGTTGGGACTCGGATTTTAACCATTTGCTTGTTGGGCTCTCGGATTTAAGACCAATCTACATGCATAGACTTTAGAATTTTCATATTTACGGTAAATGATTTATACGATAAATAAATTTACTTAATAAACAAATCGTTTATCGTAAATATAATTTTTATCATAAATATTTTAAAATATGCTGCTTAATAGAGGTGATTTTCTCACATTCTGATTTTATTTATGTGTCTTATCTATATGAATTGATTATCGACAATTTACACCCAGATTTATTTTTAGGCAACATCACTTGTGTCTCCCATATTAAAGGTTCAGCCTCGTTCAATTGATTTTATCTATCGACTGTAGTGATTCTTATTAATGAGTTTTGTTGTGCTCAATTTTATTTACGCTGAGTTAGTATTCTCTATTAAGTCTCCACACTTATTTTTTTTATACTTCATCCGTCTTCACTAATCAATTCAGTCAATATCTGAGGTTAAATTTCTTTATAAGTTACGGTCATTTACTATTATTTATGTAATTTGTTAATTTATTAATGAGATTTTTCGTTAAAAAAATTACTTTGAGAATCTCACACAGCCCCAGGCAAAAGTCGCTGGTGTGAAAACTGGCCCCACCACCAAGACCACCACCACCCTCACAAATTTGTGTGGCGAAGGAGGAGATGAGATATCTCCTCTCTGTGAAATCCCCAACACACACACACACACACACGGAGCTTGGAGACTTCTCCAATTCCCAAAACAATCAAAATCAAACTCACATACATTCTCAAACCAGAAAGAATTCGGAACAACTACTCGTCATCACCAAAAACAGTCATGGCTAACATGATCATGGCCTCCTCCAAACCCCTCTCCCCTCCTTCCCTCTCATCACCGGCCACTTCTCGCCCCAGAATCTCCCTCCCCAAATTCCCCAAATTACCAAACACCCAACTACTCTCCCTCAAATCCCTCTCTCTCGCCGCCACCGCCGCCGCCACCTCCCTCACCCTGGCGCCGCCGTCCCTGGCGGAGGAGATCGAGAAGGCGGCGCTCTTCGACTTCAACCTCACACTCCCCATAATCATGGTCCAGTTTCTGATCCTCATGGTGGCTCTGGACAAGATCTACTTCACCCCGCTGGGGAAGTTCATGGACGACAGGGACGCCGCCATTAAAGAGAAGCTGAGCGGCGTGAAGGACACGTCGGGGGAGGTGAAGCAGCTGGAGGAGCAGGCGGCGGCGGTGATGAGGGCGGCGAGGGCGGAGATATCGGCGGCGCTGAACAAGATGAAGAAGGAGACGCAGGTGGAGGTGGAGAAGAAGCTGGCGGAGGGAAGGAAGAAGGTGGACGCGGAGCGTCAGGAGGCGCTGGCGCAGCTGGAGAAGCAGAAGGAGGACACCATCAAGGCCCTCGATTCTCAAATCGACGCCCTCAGCCAGGACATCGTCAAAAAGGTCCTTTCCCTCTGATTCTTCTTTCCTTTTGTATTTCTTCTTCTTTTTTTCTTTTTCTTTTTTTTAAAAAACTTTTATAGTGATGATTTTTCATGGGAGATTCATGGAAGTGAAAGCTTTATATTTGTAATTTTGTATGATACCTTTTTTTGTGGGATGAATGATAACTATAAGCATTGATGTGTAATAATCGGGCAGTATTTCTTTTTTTACTTTTTTTTTTAATGTTTTAATGTAAAGGTTTTAGGTCTTTTCAATTTCAATTATGATTTAAGTTTTTAATTTTAATTGAGATGTAACATTTTTTAAGAGTTTTTTACTGTAACAAAAAAAATTATATGTAGCCACTTTATGTTACGTAGATGAATTATGATTCGTTATAGTATTTTTAAAAAAAAATACATATAAATTGAGAATGATTATAAATTATGATTCTGAATTTATAAATTAAATATCATTGAGTTTCAAATATTAAAAAAAAAAAGAGAGACCATTTTCCTTTTCAAGTTTTGGAGAGTGAGTTCCATTCAATGGCATTGTTCTTGTCCACCAAATCAGCAAAACCACATATGAGTGGCAAAACCAGAAGAAGGATTAAATGCAAAAACATCTTTGAGGAGCGACGACATTTATAGAAAACGGACCAGCATTAGAATTTCTAATGGCGATGATAGAGAAACGACAACATCCCTGATAGAGAAGCGAACTACAATATTGTATTAAAATGACAGTGTGTATGAGTAAAAATGAATAATAGGACATTACTTAGACATCGTTTACAACTCATGTTGTAGATTTGAGTTTTTAATTCGAGTTGAGATGTGATATTTTTTTAGAGTTTTTTACTGTAGCAAAAAAAGTTAAATATGACATTTTCTGAGAATTTTTTACTATAAAAATCTAAAACTGAAAACTCAAATCGGTGAAATGAACGAACTCTTAAAAGCGGCCATGTATATGTCTAACTAACGGTCTATAGAAACGACAACATATCTTACCGTTAAAACAGCATCATTCCTTAAAAGAGACAATTTATTAATCAAACGACAACGTATTTCGGCAGTGACAAAATGTTTTGCAAACGACAAAGTACATTTCCTAAAGGCCAAACCGACGGATCTATATTTTACTTTTTACAAGACGACTAAAAATCGCAGCTTTTGCCTCTTGCAAAATTCAAATTTATTAACCACACGAGTTTTAAATTGACAAGGGAAACAAACCACAAATACTATAAAATATTTTTTATGTCACTCTATTTAAAAATAAATAATTATCATTATTTTAATAAAAAAATAAAATAATATATCATAATAATACTTAATTATTAAGAATGACATAGATAATAGATTTGTATAAAATCATGATATGTAATTTTCTCAATTAACAATGGCAGTACAAAATCTCTCTACAAACTACAAGTGTAAAAGATTTTTAGGGTTGTTTTTAAAGTAAATAGAAATAATCATATTCATATGACAAATTAAACCTTTACCAACTAAATTTTGTACAAAAGGTTCTTTCCATTGTGCCTTTAAAGACCTTTGAAATTGGAATGTTTCGCACTTAAATATACTTATTTCTTAAATATTTTAAGTTATCTTAAGATAGATACATGATTACATAGGTCGGATTTTCAAATCGTTGATTTTAGATTTAGGGATCAAAACTGCTAAATAGATAAGTTCAAGCATAATCCATCAAAAAGGAAGTTGAAGGACCAAATTTTCATAATCCTAATTATTCAAGGACTAAAGATTTTCTTTTTTTAATTAATATTTTAAAAAACGACAGTATTTCTTAGAAACGACATAGAAAAAACACCAAGAATGATTTTACAAATCTCTACGGCTTTACCGTTGACGCAATATTGATGGTTTTTTATAATTTTTTTATTTTTTTATTTTTTGCAATGCTAGTAGTATGATTGGATAAAATAAAATATCATAATAACACTTAATTATTAATAATGACATAGATAATAGATTTGTATAAAATCATGACAAAATATGTAATTTTCTCAATCAAAACGGCAGTACAAAATCTCTCTACAAACTACAATGAAAGTGTAAAAGATTTGTAGGGTTGTTAGTTTATGAGCTATTTTCATCTTAATGATTTCGTTCTTGAAATTTTTTGAGAATTATTTTTTGAATGTATTTTTTCTTACAATTATGGTGTGTACAAAAGGTTCTTTCCATAAATAGAAATAATCATGTTCATATGACAAATTAAACCTTTACCAACTACATTTTGTACAAAAGGTTCTTTCCATAAAGACCTTTAAAATTAGAATGTTTCGCACTTAAATGTACTTATTTCTTAAATATTTTAAGTTATCTTAAGATAGATACATGATTACATAGGTCAGACTTTTAAATCGTTGATTTTAGATTTAGGGATCAAAACTGCTAAAAAGATAAGTTCAAGCATAATCCATCAAAAAGGAAGTTGAAGGACCAAGTTTTCATAATCCTAATTATTCAAGGACTAAAGATTTTCTTTTTTAAAAAATTAATATTTTGAAAAACGACAGTATTTCTTAGAAACGACACAAAGAGAAAACGCCAAGAATGATTTTACAAATCTCCACGGCTTTACCGTTGACGCAATATTGATGGTTTTTTATAATTATTATTATTTTATTTTTTTGCACTGCTGGTAGTACGATTGGATGATGATATGAGAAACAAGAAGTCTTTCTTGGAAACATTCCCAAAAAAGAAAAAACAAAAGTATTGTTGGAATTCCTTGGACGCAGTCGCAACTATATGCAAAGCACGCCACCCTTAACCCCCCCATTCGTCATTTCTCCATCTCTAAATTCTCTTTCACAAAATGGACAACGAAATGCTGAAAAGAAAATCAAAATGTAAAAACTTCTTTTGCAATACTCTCTTCCCACTTTTATACAAACAACTATCGTGTGAAAATCTTCAATTTTTTTTTCCCCATCCCCTAGATTCCGGATTAATCATGGTCTAACATGTATATAGGCCCCATTCATTTCACTGATTTGAGTTTTTAATTTTAAGTTTTTACAATAAAAAGCTCTAAAAAAATATCACATCTAATTTTTCTGCTACAGTGAAAAACTCTAAAAAAATGTCATAATTTGAATTGAAAATTCGAATCCACAAAGAAAATAATGTCACGTTTCCCTAAAAAAGAGGATGTATGAAAAAATTATTGAAATTACTTTAAAAGCGTATTTATTATTATTAATTAATGTCTTTTTAATTAATACAGTTTTTTAACTAAAAGATTCATTAAGAATAAATGATAAAAATTTAAAATTCATGTATTGCCAATATTTAGAATATTTTTAAGAAAAAATTAAGCAAGAAAAGAAAACTCAAGTAATTTCTTTTTCTTTTGTTAATTAAATAGAAAAAGTTACGTGGTGATTAGATATTTTACAGAGCAAAAAAAATCTAACTTAACTTTTTCTTTTTTAAAGTTAAAAGTAAAAATAAAAAAGAAAAAAAAAATCCACCATCAATGCAAAATTGTATTTTTTTTTAATTTGTTAAATCCACATTAATATTCAGGTCTAAAATTCAAATCTAACAAAACAAAACAAAAAAATTTGTTTATGTCGATAGTTAAAATGGACTGAATTGCTGTTTCTTTCAAAGTGCATAACCGTAATTAGAGAGTGATTAATAGCATTTTAAGCTCGGGATTACGAGAGGTTTATAAAGATTAACCGATTCGGCCTGTTATTGTTGTTGTTTTCGTCTCTCTCTCTCTCTCTCTCTCTCTCCCTCTCTTCTTTCTCTCTCTCTGGGATTCCAAGCCACGGATTTCCCTGCAAATTTATTTCTTCGTCTTTTTTAAGCTTTTTGGGTACATACGCTTCTCTTTTTCTTTTTTTTTTTAAGCTTTTTGGGTCTTCGGAGGACGAAGCGAGTTCAACGGAAATACCTACCAAGTGTTTCAGTGAGTACCATCTTCTTCTTCACTATATTCTATTTCTTAGTTTCTCCGATCTACTTCTTATGATTTCAACGCAAAGCTTTGAGTTTTACGATCAAATTACAGAGGGAAAAAAAAAAAGAAAAAGAAAACACGAGAGAAAAGCTTTCAAGTGGTCGAACTCAGTTGTAACTTCTTGTTTCTTTTGAAGTATCCAAGAAAAAATGGAAATTTCAATAGGTTGAAGCAACTTTCTCCTACTTTTCATTCTTCGTTACTTTCTGAGCTGCCTAGAGCCGTTGAAATTCGGTTACCTTAGAAATTGAATGATCCAAAGTGAAATGGAATATTGGAGTTTTGTGTTTACTAGTAGTGTTTAGCTTTAAAGATGCTTGAAACCCATATTGGTTAAAGGTTTTATTTTGTTTGAGCGTTTGTGAATTATGTTTCTCTGGCCCTTTTGCTATTTAGTCTAGAAACAAATGATATTTGGGTTCTTTAAACAATCATGCAGAATCGTGTGTAATTAGTTGTGAAGCATTAAACTTGATAATAAATTGTAATTAGTTCCTGTTTAATTTTCTCTCAATGGTGATATATGGATTCGGACTTTGTGGGGAAGTTTTCAATAATTGGTTGATGTAGTTGCAGATCAAGAAATGTCCAAACAAGTTGCAGATCAAGAAATGTCCAAACAAGTTGGTGATATTCAACCAAGTGCTTCTTTTGAGTTTGAGCTATTCGAGGGTGATCCCGATCACCTTAGAACAGTAGTATCTTCATCAAACCAATTAAGTCCTTGGATTGAACCAGCGACATTGAAACTTCGACACAGAATCGCGAGAGGAACGTTCGGTGATGTTTGGTTAGCAACCCATCATCAGTCTTGTAAAGGTCACGAGGAGGATCATGAAGTGGCTGTCAAGATGTTACCTCTTGTTAAAGAGGAGCACATGAATGTTTTGCTGGATAAATTTGATAGTTTATTTGCAAAATGTCAAGGATTAGGCGGTGTTTGCTCTCTACATGGGGTCTCGATTATAAATGGAAAGGTGAGTCTTGTGCTTTTATTGGATAAATCAAATGGGGATTTTCTTACGTCTCTAACTTCAGTATGCTAAGATCAATTTTTGGTATGTATGGATAGATCTGTATCATTATGAAGTTCTATGAGGGTTCAATTGGAGATAAAGTTGCACGCCTTAGAGGAGGAAGTCTCACGCTACCTGATGTTTTGAGGTGATGTGGGTCTGGATTGGACATTAAAAATATTCGTCTTTCATTTTTTGTTGACGCCTGAAACAAAAAGTATGAAGTTTCCAGTTCTCATCATGTGCCTACTACTTGCAGGTATGGTATAGAGTTGGCTCAAGGAATTCTGGAACTACACTCGAAAAGGATCTTGGTTCTCAACCTTAAACCATCTAACATTCTTCTTGATGAAAGTGACAAAGCAATTGTTGGAGACTTTGGTGTTCCTTATCTACTGCTCGGCAGTTCATTTCCAAGCTCAGATATTGCCCACAGGCTTGGAACTCCGAACTACATGGCACCAGAACAATGGCAACCAGAAGTAAGAGGTCCGATATCTTTTGAGACTGATTCATGGGGATTTGGGTGCTGCATCGTGGAGATGTTGACTGGTGTTCATCCTTGGCATGGGAGACCTGTTGATGAAATACATCATTTGGTTGTCAGAAAGCAGGAAAAACCCCATATACCAAGTGCCCTTCCTCCTCCTATTGAGGATGTCCTCCTTGGTTGCTTTGAGTATGACTTGAGAAATCGTCCTTTAATGTCGGATATATTGCATGTGTTTAAAAGGTATAATTTTTATTTTAAGGTTTTGAATCGACCTTTAATATCAGACGTACTGATGTAGTATATAGTTTATCTATGTGCTAATTTATGGTCTTTTCAGCATCTACTTGTCAGGAAAATTGAAGTATTGTTCACTCCCTTGTGCCTACTCATTACTAATTTCTAGCTACTCCTAGACGTATAAAATGTATTTTTCAAGGTTTCTAGAAGTATAAGGATATTTTTCAAATTATAAATAATAAATTGTAATTTTGTCTAGCTTCTGGAACTGTTATCGGCTGCATCTACTTTATGCTAGATAAACTATATTAACAAACCCAGTTGAATATATAATTTATGCTATCTTGAGTTGGTTGCTAGATTACGGTTGATGTATGTGCTAAATAATGGTCTTTTCGGTTAACTTGTCAGGAAAATTGAATTTCTGCTGTTCACTTCCTCGTGTCTTCTTATTCCTAATAATTGATACTTTGCAGCTCACAGATTGCAGTCTCTACTGATGGAGGCTGGGAAAGTCTCGGGACTGGTTACACCAGATGGTTCCTTCTGAAAGATCGTCTGCAAGTGGGCGACACAGTTCGTTCCAGAAAGCCACCAAACTCTTGCAAACCAGAGAACATGACTGTGCCTGAAGGAACAGTGGTGGGCCTAGAACGCGACGCAGATCGTGATGGTTTTGTTTTGGTAAGGGTTCACGGCATCCATGACCCACTAAGGGTTCATGTTTCGACTCTTGAGCGCATCACTTTTGGCTTGGCTGCTGGTGACTGGTTAAGCTTGAAGGAAGAAGACAAGAAACACTCACCAGTTGGTATTCTTCATTCAATCCATCGTGATGGTAAAGTAGCAGTTGGATTTATAGGAATGGAAACTCTTTGGGAGGGGAATTCTTCCGCGTTTGAGATGGCAGAATCCTACTGCATTGGCCAGTTTGTGAGGCTAAAATCCAATGTTCTGAGCCCCCGATTTGAATGGCCTCGTAAAAGAGGAGGGGCTTGGGCCACAGGGAGGATTTGGTGGATCTTACCAAACGGATGCCTCATTGTTAAGTTCCCCGGAATCCCGACTTTCAAGGAGGAGTGCAGCACCTTCTTGGCTGATCCAGCTGAAGTGGAACTAGTTACTTTTAACACTTGCCCGGGGATGGTGAAGAAGTACCAACATCTTGAGGATTTCCACTGGGCGGTGCGACCTCTTCTCATTGCATTTGGCCTATTTACAGCCATGAAGCTAGGCTTTTTCGTTGGAAATAGAATTGGGAGGTCAAAGGTGAAAAACCTACGGAGCAGTGACATGGAAAGTTCAAGTCATCATCCTATGGATGGCCAGAATGCTGGAAAGTCTGCATGGATCCCTCCTAAAGTTGGAAAACTTTTCAGATAAGGCATTTCCTCATCTTCGGCTCGGTAGACAGTAGCCGTTTAGCTCGGATTCCATAGAGGACAAAGCTAGTTAGTGTTTACAGTTTACTGAAGTCGGATATCTGGAGTGACTGGTTTGCTAGCTAGAATGGGGCTTCTTACTCTAAGCTACCACTATCAACTGCCAAAGTGGTCATTTGCATTTGATGGCTAACAATATCTCTCTGTATATAAATGTAAAGATGTATCATTAATCACGTGTTGACTCAACCCCTTCTATTAAGTTGCATTTTGGATAAATCATAATCCTTGTGGTACTTCTCTTGTTCTTTTCCTTTTCTCTGCTGAGCAAGGAAGAAGCTTGGTCGCCGTACAGTATATTGAGCGTCTCCAATGCAGTGTTAATTTAGGCATTTGAGTGGGACTCCACAATGCAATGTCGTTTTGGGGGGCTAAATTTGGCATTAGCAATATTCGGTGTCAAATCACCAGGTACAACGTTTGTAAAATTTTGGTTTCTGATCACATTGTTTGCTGTTTTTGCTTCTTCTTTTTTCATTAAATCATTACAACATTATCATCTCAAATTATTTTAAAATTAAAATTTCATTTTACAGTTTTCAAGCTTATTGCTTATAAGAAAAGTAAATACAACATTTGGAATAACATTGTGTATCGAAGTACGTACGAGATACAATACCCTAAAATTAGTCTATTTTTCCGTTACTCATTTTACCAAGAAATTACTTTCTTTTTATTCAGTCCAGGTACATTGATATTAGCATTTTGATCTCATTTTAGCCTTTAACCCTTAAAAATAATAATATGTTGCTCAGCACAATTAGTTGGTGGATTCATTGCCATGATTCGAATCATGGTTTGTAATTCGCTACAGTATTTTCTCTCATAAAAAACACACGTAAACCGAGAATGATTCTGAATCATTATTCTGAATACATAAACCAAATGTCCACTTTTGACCGCATTCGCTCCCTTTTCTTTTATCTAGATTCTCATATAGTATTATTCTTGAATCCCCTCCTTAGCAATTAGAAATAATGGCTAATTTATCATCTCTAATGTAAATATTAATATCAATTGTATATTTAACATAAAAAAGTATGATATGATATGTTATTTTTAATTTTACTCTAATGTGTAATGCCATTTGAAATGTTAATTTTTTTTTTTTTAATAATCATTAAGCATTGAAAGTTGTAAAAGTAGAATTTTATTTTTAAAATAATTAGAAAATGTAAAAGTTACATTACATGAAAAATTAAATATTTCAACCAATAACAATCAATTGTCAAATTTCTCATATGCTATATTTAGTAAGAAATTTGCCACAAAATATAGAATATAAAAAATTTAGCACAACACATAACATTACATTAGAGAATATTTTTTACACTTAAATGTTAAATTTATAATTAGCGCATTAATTATAGCATTGCATTAAAGATACTTAATAAATCCCTTCCTACTTTTATATTTTGGAATTCATATTTCTATGTATTTGTCAATTACCAAACTCATCTAAGAAATTCATATTTCACAGTATATTTGGCACTTTTGCGTCTCTAAATTTTTCTAGACTAAACAAGTCCCTTTTAAATTCACCGAAAGTGTTGTAGAATAACTAGATTGACGGCGGTTGGACAAAAATGTCGCCATACACGTAAAAGCGAAAAGAAATGACATGTCCATGAGCGGTTTCTTCTAAAGTTTAAGAATTATTTTCATTAGTACCTCTTAAATTTTAAATTTATTTTAAATTTATTTTTTAAATTTTAAAAACTCTCATTTTATTTTATAATCTTTGAATTGTTCTTAATTAACTTCTTTTATTATAACTTCTATTAAAATTAGTTGATAAAAGAAAATGTTAAGTGTTGTCATGTGATTTATATATATTTTTTTAATAGAAATCTCAATAAAAATACTGCATAACTGCGTTATTCTCTTTTTTCTATCTATTTTTAACATAAATTGCAACAAAAAAAATTAAATGAAAATAATTCAAAATTCAACGAGCAGTGTGAGAATTTTTAAAGTTTAAGGAACAAATTAGTATTGACCTTCAAGTTCAGGAGCATAAGTGATAATAATCCAAAGTTTAACATCTTTTATCAATTTGGAGATGCCAATATTTTACTTAATTCATAGATGCATTGCTAAAATTATTTATTAAAAAAAAAAACTATACTCATTTGCGACTAAATGTTTAGTTTTAAAGAGGAAAATAAAATAAAATCAGATACATGTATATTATATACAGAATCTAGTTGGTTGCTTCACCATTAACACTTACTATCCTGCAATACCAGCCTCCTTCACAAGCTCCTCGGTCAAAGCAGAAAGCCGGAGAACTTGGCTTTTGACCTTTGTAAAACACTCATTGTTTTCCGCAATACTTGTCCACGCATCAAAGCTATCCACTGGGAAGATGCCAGTATCAGTACCAGCCTCAATGCTCATGGTAGCTTTATTCAAAAGTTCACGACTCATCTCCGCAAGTTTATCAAGTGCGCTTGTTGCAGCTTCAACTTCTAGTTGAGCTGCCTCGATTTGGAGCTTCTCGATTGCTACGTCCCCAACACTTTTCTCGCCTACCCTCTGCTGTGCCAAAGCATAAAGCTTTCGGAGATCGTTAGCGTCCCGTTCCATTTCTTCTTTCATCATCTCGATTTCTCTCTCCTTTGCGTCTAATCTTCCAATAACCAGTTTAAGTTCTTCATCTTTGATTGCAAGAGACCTCTGAGCAGTTAGAACATCCATTTCTTTCCTTCTTAAGCTCTCTTTAGTTAATTCGAGCTCAGTTTCCAGTTGTCTCTTCTGCAACCTAAAATCATCACTCACTTCTTCCCATGGTAGCTGGAATAATTCTTGTGCGGGGTCATCAGATAGACTTAATGCACCATAGTCCTCGTCCTTCATAGACATAACCAACTTGTTTGTGAGCTCTACAATCCGTCCGACCACAGTTTCAGCATCCAAAAATTTCTGCTTTGTATCATTCAATTCATTTTGAATAATGCCAACGTGTTCGTCTTTCTCCTGTAATAAGGTGGTTGCCTGGATAAGCTGGTTCTCTTTGCCGTTTAAAAGCATCTTTAGGTCTGCAACCTCCTCGCTCACTTCTTCAAGCTTCTTCCTCGCACTTAGGAGTTCCGAGTCCTTCTCATCCAATACAAGCTCAAGTGAAGCCTGTTCAGATTTCAAGTGTTGGATCTCCATCTTAGCCTCCACAAGTTCCGACTCCTTGACCTGAAGAAGATTGTGTGCTTTCTCAAATTCAGTACTCTTCTGGTCTAGCTCCTTCTGGAAAGACGACATTTCCTGCATTGCCTGCTGCAGTAAAGACCTCTCTTTCTGCAACTCCTCCTGCAACTCTTTCACTAGCTCCCTCTCCATCGATAAATCCCACTCAAGATCCTTGTTTCGAGCCTCTGCAACTCTGAGCTTAACTCTTTCAGTCTCTATTTCAATTTGGGCAGCTTTCAAATTTTCCATGTACAACATCACACTGATCTTCTGTTCTTCGAGTTCTGCCAGCTGTTTTCCTAACAGCTTATCTTGTTCTTCCGTCTTCTGTCTAGAGGATGTCAGCGCTTTTTGAGAGGAAACCAACTCAAACCGCACATCACTGAGAAGTTTTTTCACTCTTCTAAAGTCCTCCACTGTTTCGTATGTTTCTCCCACATGTTTAGATGCCTCCTCTGCCAGTTTCTTCAGTTCTTCCTGGGCTTCTAACCATTCCATCGTCTGCTTCTCCAAGTTGGACTTTGCAACTTTTAGCTTCTCTTCTTCAAGTTTCCTCAGGGTCAAATAAGCTTCTAGTTCTTTTTCTTTTTCTCGGATGTCTTTTCGGAGACCTTGAAGTTCAATTTCTTGTTCATTCACTATTTTGTTGGCTTGAGTCAGAAGTTGAGCCTTAGATTTAAGCTCGGAATCAATCCTTGCAGCTTCTTCACTCTTCTTCGCCAATTCGTTTCTCATTTTATCCATTTCCTCTTCTTTAAGAGACAGTGCAGACTGTGCAGCACCAATATCCCGGTCCCTCTCCTTGAGATGAAGTTTTAGATCTTCTATCTGCCTAGCTTGAGAAGTTAAATTCAGATTGGCCTGGTTCAGTTCTTCCTCTATCTTTTCATACTTATGACGAGCAGCGGTAACTTCTTTCTCTCGTTGCTCCAACTCCTTCTTTGCACGATTTAATTCACCGTGTTCCAAATGAACCGTCTTTTCTGCATTCTGTAGCTCGTCTTCTTTATCTTTCAGCACTTCCAATGCAGCCATTAGATCAGCCTCCAGTGTTCCAAGGTTAAGCCCCAGTTGAACATCTTGAGGCAGATGAGAATCTCTGCTCATATGTTCTTCGAGTTTCTGCGTCTGCACAAATAATCTCTCGAGAAGAATCCTTGCAGGTTCAGTAGCTCCATTGTCACTAACGCTTGGACTCGTGTTATCTAAGACTGACTTAACTATCTTCAAAGAACGGCTTCTTCGTCTCAAGGCTGTCCCAAAAACTAGCTTGTTACGGCTTCCATTGTGCCTCAAATAGCAAAACTGCGAAAAGCACCACCTTTCCATAAGTATTACTCAGCGATTATAAACCAGCAAAGCCACAGTATAACCATCTTTTAGCTATTTATTAAATTTCCATTTAAATTCAATTCACGGGTCAGAAAAGTTCCCAAAGGAGCTGGAAATTATAGAAATATCCCATCAAATCCTCAAAATGAAAAGATAAATGAAGTTTAAGATAGATTGAGCCAAAGAAAACTGAATTAGCACCCTCTTAAGAAGTGGAGACTAAAACGAATATGCTAATCCCATTCTAAATCCAGAGAGAAAAAAAAAATGTATATGTATATGCGTATCTCAAGCAAAACTAAAATTACTTAAAGGATTAATTTTTTTATAGCACTTTCTTTTTTGTCATGGCAATAACCATTCTTAAAACTATTGTAGTCCTAATTAAAAAAAAAAATGCTATATATAAAATTGACCCTCAAGTTTATGGACAGTAGTCTCAACCTCAGGATTCAGATTTTTTTTTTTATAAAAAATATAAAATAAAAAAAATAAAAAAAACTTCACTATCAGAAGTTAATATATATTAATTTATCGAGATTGTTCTTCAAGATAATAGATCCTCCTCCAATTCGTGTATTTCTCCCACTGGGGAAAAAAATAAAAGTGTCAAACCAGAAGAAACAAAACCCTAGATTTTCTTTTTTTCCGTAAGAAGCCATAGTTCTCCGAGGTAAAATCCCCAAAAGGCCAAAACAGTATCGAAAATCAAAGAAACGGACTTTACACACATCGATAAATATGTCTATATATATACGTATACATACGTATATATACAGAGAGAGGGACAGAAAAGAAATCATAGAAAGAAAGAGCACCTTGGAGTTGCGGAAAGAAGAGGAAGAAGGAATATTGGATCTGGTAGCAGTAGAGAAGGCCATGGCGGTTGTCTCTAGAACATTCCAACAGATTATTAGTTCGTTACTTACAAATTTACAACTGTTAGTCTTAAATTGGAGATTTCCGAAAACAATCCCAGCCACAAATATCGATAATAAACCATATTCATATATTTTTCCTAAAGGAGAAAAAACAAATATAAAATCTCATCAAAGCGTAGTTGTGAAAGACGGTCACAGACAGACAGAGATTAGAGGGAAAACATGGCCCAATCAAGAGGGAAAAGGATTTTTAGAAGGCGTGGCTTACGTTAGCAAATATCAAAGTGTTCTGCTATCTTATTCATGGAATTGGGCTAATTTGCGCTGCCACGTAAATTGAGGAATTTGATAGTAGTCACGGTATTTAATTGACGTTTAGTTTATAAATTTAGAATCATAATTTAAAATTATTTTTAATTTATATATATTTTTTATAAAAAAAATACTTTAACGAATTAAAAAATTATAATTTAAATCATGACACGAATCTATTACGCACACTTAATGGTGGCCACTAGTTTTCTGCCATCTGGCTTTATGGGCAGCTAATGTTCATGCTATTTGCATGACTTGAACTATTTCTGATGTGTTAATTATGCTTAACGCGTGGATAGATCTGTAGTGAAACGCGTGTTGTTCTCGGCCTTTCACTTTTTCGTGAGAAAATTGATATGAACAGAAAATGAGGATTTGCAAATTGTGGGCCACCAGAATTTCACGTGTTAAGATTGTTTCTACACCATACATTACATATTTTAGGAAAAGTATTTGCATTTTCTTTTTGTTGCTACAATGAAATAGGATTTCCAATTTCAAATAATCTTTTCTTTTCTTTTTTTTGTGAACTCGTGTTTTTTTATCTCAAACAGAAAATCAACATTTGTTTTTCTTATCAAAGATAGAAAACCGCATATTTTTTTCAGCTAGTAAAAAAAACAAAATCAAGATTTATCTATCTCCATCATCAAACACTCAAAAACTGAGAGTCGGGTGCGTTTGGAATTGGTTCTAAAACGTTTTTATTTTTTATATGAAAATGAAAACGAAAACGTTTTTATTTTTATTTTGGAATCATTTCTAAAAATGCGTTTGATAGTTTTATTTAGAGATTGTTTTCAGTTTAAAAAAAAAACTAAAATTGTGTTTGGTGGTTTAATTTTAAAAACATGTAATAAAATATTTAAAATTAAATTATATTAAATAAATAATAAAACTCTGAAATCCATTTCGCCCCGTCTCTATACAAAACAATCAGAAACTCCAAAACTCCAAACAAAATTCAAGAAGCCAAATAAAACTCCAATGTCCAAACAAACCCCATAGGAGGCTCTCTCTCAATCTCACTCTCTCCGCCGTCTTTGCTTAGATTCGTCGACAACTTCTCCGCAACCGCCATTTTACTCTCTGATTCCTCTCTCTCCCTGTACCAATTCCAATTCCAGATTCGATCATCAAACATTTCATTGATATCATATTCATATATTGATTGATTACAACTTACATATAACAGCCTGAAATCTAAATTCCAATCGGAGCCAAACGAAAATTTGCAGATGTTTGTAAACTCATCGTCCCACGCGACAGCTTCTCCTCAGCGGAATCCTGATCTCCTGACGCTGAAATTCCTCTACCTCTGCCACGATCTCCGGTGGAAGAACGGAACCAATTTCAGTCCGGGCTTGTTATTGTCAGGGCCTCTCCATTTGACCTCAAGCGCCACAGCTTTCTCTCTCTCCTCCAGTTCACACTCGAAACCTCGAAGCTCCAATCGGCTCACCTTCACCTGGAGCTTCTTCGTTTCTCCTCCGCTTTTTATGCTCTGCCATGGTGACCACTTCATGCTCTGCCATGGCGACCACTTCATGCTCGAGAAGAAGTTCCGATCTTAGCGATTCAAGACTTCTTCAGAGACGCTTTGAACCGAACCATATCTGAGAAATAGAAATAGAGAGAGAGAGAGCTATGGAGATTTGGAGAAATGCTGGATTTGCTTCTGAGCTGCGCGGAGAAGAGATAGAAGAATGAAGGGAGAAAATGAAAAGGAAAACGAAAAACGGATTTAATCCGTTTTCAGATTTTAGAAAAAACAACAAAAATATTTTTGTTTTTGTTTTTTAAAAAATTTTACACCAAACGCGTTTTACGTATGCGTTTTCATTTTTTAGCCTCGAAAAACGTAAAAAATGAAAACAAAAATAGAAACAAACGCACCCAATGTTTGCTTCTTCTCAGCAAACCAAATAAAAAATCAACGTGTATCGTCTCAAAAAATCATGTAAATAATGTATATTTTCTTCAACAAAATAAAATAAAATATGTATGTAAGTTTCATTAAAGAAACGTGTGTTTTCATACTTTAAAAAAAAAATCATCGTGTATCCTATCTTTATCATCATCTAATCAAAAAATTGGCCTCATTCACTTCGCAGATTCGAGTTTTCAATTTAAATTGAGATGTGACATTTTCTAAGAGTTTTTCACTGTAGCAAAAAAAAAAAATTAGATGTGACATTTTCTAAAAACTTTTTACTATATAAACCTAAAACTGAAAACTCAAATCGGTGAAATTTCACATGTGTTTCCTTGGGCAAACAGATCAACGTGTATTCCAATTCCATCACTCACATTTCAATGCTTCAAAATAAAAATAAGTGGACTTCTTCCATAAAGAAAAATTTAATTTAAAAAAGTTGGAGAAAAAAATTATGGGATTGTTTTTTTTGCATTTTTGAATTAGAGTGATTTAAGTAATGATTTTGAGTTGAGTTTGAGTTATAACTTGAATTTGTGTTTAGATGTGCACATTTGAGTTATGATTTGAATTGAGAATGTTTTTGAGTTTATGTTTAGATGGGTCAAAACTTAAATTTATATTTAGATAGTATTTTAATAAAAACTCAATGGTGATGAAAAATTTTAATAGAGTATATGAGTGGAGTTTTATTCATCTTTTCGTTGTAAATACATAGAAAAAAAATCATCTCAATCAGAATTAAAACAAAAAAATTATGACATTTTTAAAAATATAAAAAATATTATTCATTAATTTAAGTTCGAGTTTATGAACTCGAATTGAAGGAAAAACTTGAACTTAAATTTAGCCCAAAATTCAAGTTCAAACTTAAATTTTACAAAAAAACATGAACTTGAATAAAATTGTAACTCGAGTTCAAATTTTTTCTGAATTTATTACAAAAGAACAACCCCTATAATTTTAACAAACTAATTAAAACTTCAACATAATTTTGACACCTATAAAAAATGATATTCATGGAAAGTTTTTCAGCACGTTAGCATTAACCATGCAATGAAAATAACCAATTTTCTGTTTAAAAATGACTTGAACAGTTAAATTTGAGGGAAATTAAATTTAAATTAGACTATTTAATTCAGTTTAAACGAAAATATAATTCAAACTGTGCATTTACTAAACACGAATTCAAAATGCGCGTCCAACACGGTAAGTTTACAATTATTTGCGTAGACACTAAAAACATATCTCATGCTAAAAGTGAAATTGAAATTGAGGGAAAATGCAAGCAAATGAGCATATGTTAATTAATATAGTGTACTAAAATTATCTAATAATTGACATGGATATGTTTGCCAGAAAAACAAAAAGGAGAGCAGAGCACAGAAGTTGACATTCGACCCACCTTACAACTTATCCAAAAATTACAAATATTCAACCAGTAAATGGGATACCCCACTTGCCCAACTTATCCAGGGACCAGCCCACATTTATCCCTTCTTTTTCGTTGAAAAATTTTGGTATAAGGTATGACAAAATTTAAGAAACTTTTACTATGACAGTTTAATAAACTTGGTGGAACTTATAGGTAAGTTTTTTATTCTTGTCCTGCCAAAGAATTTACTTTTTATTTTTGTTTTCTAAGTCATCAAATTACTCATTAGTTCCACACTAGTATACAGAGGACTCAATCAAACAGGTGCATCAGTTACAAAGGAATTTGGACCTTTGATGCTTTAGAAAAACCTGGGCCAATTGGGGGTTATGGACTTACAATTATGCTTCCAAGAGGGGAGTGGTATCAAGAGATGCACAAGGCCTAAAACAAACACTATTGACCTATCTCCAGTAGAAGTTTTCCGAGTGCTTCAGCAGTGAGAGGGATGTACAAACAATCTTGCCCATCAGTATCCCTTCTGGTCTTGACCAGCTCATGATCTTTGAATTCTGTCAAATGGGAGTTGAGTGTAACCTGGTTGCTCGCCAGGAACCGCTC